GTGGGGTGGAGTGAGGAGTGGAGCTGGGGTGGAGCGAGGAGTGGAGCTGGGGTGGAGCGAGGAGTGGAGCTGGGGTGAAGCGAGGAGTGGAGCTGGGGTGGACCGAGGAGTGGAGCTGGGGTGGAGCGAGGAGTGGAGCGAGGAGTGGAGCTGGGGTGGAGCTGCGGTGGAGCGAGGAGTGGAGCTGGAACGGAGCGAGGAGTGAAGCTGGGGTGCAGTGAGGAGTGGAGCTGGGGTGGAGCGAGGAGTGGAGCTGAGGTGGAGCGAGGAGTGGAAGTGGGGTGCAGTGAGGAGTGGAGCTGGGGTGAAGCGAGGAGTGGAGCTGGGGTGGAGCGAGGAGTGGAGCTGGGGTGGAGCGAGGAGTGGAGCTGGGGTGGAGCGAGGAGTGGAGCTGGGTTGGAGCGAGGAGTGGAGCTGGGGTGGAGCTGGGGTGGAGCGAGGAGTGGAGCGAGGAGTGGAGCTGGGGTGGAGCGAGGAGTGGAGCTGGAATGGAGCAAGGAGTAAAGCTGTTGTGGAGCATGGAGTGGTTTAAAACGCTGGCTGCCATCTATCCCTCCAATTTCCGCTCAGCCCTGAGCTCTGGTCATGCTCTGGTCTGCCCAGCAATAAACGTTTGCTTCATCCTATTTTTGATTTAGGACTAACATTTGACATGCTGTTCACCCTGACACTATTAAGTATTTTCTGTTAAGCCCAGTATATAACAGCTTTGCACCCAGTGTCGGAGTGATTTTTAACAATGCTCCTATGCAGATTTTCTCCAGGTTGTTTAGTCAACATTGTGGACCTCATTTTTCAATTCGAACCACAGATCTCCTAAGTAGAGTTGAGGTCAGGACTTTGACCCGACCACTGTAGGGCATTAACCATTTTGTTGTTAAGTTAAATGTAGCTTTGGCCTTGTGCTTGGGATTATTGTCCCGTTGAAAGCTTCATTTCACCTCAAGCCTCAGTTTTCAGCAGGTTCTCTTCTCTTTCCCTGTACTGTGCCTCATCTATTCCTACCTGATGACAGCACAGTTAAATGTCTCTGGGACAAATTTCAGAAAAAGAAAAAAATATTTTGTCACAATACAAACCACCACACAATTGAGTACAAAAAGCTAAAACCAGAAACAACATCCATGGTCCAAACAACAAAAACATAGTTAGCTAATTTTTTTTGTTGCAAAAATGACTCAAGGCAGTGCTGAACGTAAGTGGCAGTCATTGCAACAGGTGGAGGTACTCTCACATGTTTTCAGTATGGCCAGGGTATTTATTCTTTTACTGTTGCTAGCTCATATTATCCCCCTACCCTAAACACCCTGGTCTAGCTTATAATATCTATAATATAAATGGTATGAGTTTCCACAATGTCGCTAGAGTGGGACAGGTAAAGGTAACAATATCCATTTAACCAGTTCTCGACAGCCATCTGCGGGATAATTGTAGTACCCTATACAACCACTAGGGATACTTGCAGTAACCTATACAACCACTACAACCTCTACACAAAGATTGCGAAATTCAAAAACGGACGTTTTATAATATACTACATGCTTATATTGTGCATAAAGGTTAGAAGGTTTTCAGTTTTAAAATATTTAAAACACAGACCATTTTATTAGCAATTGAAAGGACTGCTAATTGGCGGACAATGACGGCATCATCGTTGCAAACATTTTTAAACTATAGTCATAATATTGTACTTACATCAGCCAAAGTCGATTGTTTTTCTTTTGCTATAGTCCCAGGGATATTATTAGCATCGTTTATAACCCATAGTAATCCATATTCGGTCGAGAATAGAAGTTTTTAACCTTTAACAAGAGGGCGGGATCTCAGTCACCTGCAATGTATTTTGTCCGATTTTGAAGGGTTAGTTCACTCACTCGGAGGAACGGAGCAGAAAGGACACCTCTCACTAAAATGACTGTATCTCAGTGAATAAACGTGTTTTCAAGTGTTTTCAGGTCGACCGGAGATTCAGAGTCTGAGATATAAATCTTCAAAGCCACTGAAAAATAAAAAAACATGGTTCTGTTCCAGAGCAATATCCATTTAGATTGTGGTGATTTTAGGCGGAAATTGAGATTTGGGGCCCTGTCAAAAACAGGTTAATAACCCCCCAGACCCTGACAGTGCTGGCTGATCCACAAGCAGACTCAAACCCATGTCACAGATATAACAGTGCCAGTGTGCCATTCAGGGGCCAACAGTCCAGCTGTGTTTATCAACTGGTATTGCTGAATTTGGTTGTAATATTAGGAGATTTACAGTCCACAAAAACAAATGCTTTAGCATTTTCTTAATGCAATCGCCTTAATGCAGTAGAAATATTCTACTGCAATAAGCAGTGACCTGGTGGAAGAAGATTTTTGCTCTCTCTAGCCTGATAAATTATAATCAGGAAACAGACAGACAACCTCTGAAAAAAGTCTTGCAGATCGTCAAGCCCAAATGATTTGTAAGGCTCCAGCACATTCCACAACGCGTTTACTAGTACTGTCTGAAGGGAGAAAAGGTATTTAAAGAGAGAAATCTACATGGAGCAGGTGAAGCAATCCAGGCAGTAGGAAGGAAGGAGCAGATTGAAATGTGTGGCCAGGCTTAACAAACTGACTGCTGAAGCTTTCAGCCAATCTAATTGTGTCATTGGTGTCTCTGTTCTCACATTTGAGTTTTGTAGGCAGGAGAGCGATGCATTGTAAAATGTCGACACATTTACAGTGTTTTTTGCATCTCTGATTGACTGCGATGTCATTGCGGATATAAGTTATACTACAGAGATCACTAAGATTTCGAAATAAGACTGTAGTGATGCACTTTTAGGCATTTGCTGTATATGTATATATAACAGCTTAGGATCTAAATGGTTGTACAATTTGGGAAAGATCTAAACCATAAGTGCATCTCGTTAAATGAAAGATGGCACTTTAGATATTGCACATGGCAATATCGCAATTACAATAATAATTTGATTAGCTAGGCAGCCCTAGTTTCTCGTCTAGCTTACCCGTCACTCGTAGCCTTTCCGCTCCAACCACCACCTCCTGGTCATCAGCAGAGAACAGCAACTTTCCAGACCTGGATTTCACCTCGAACATCTTCCCTTGTGCGTGCACTCCACTGGATCCTAGACAGTTCAAATAGTGTGTGGAAAAAGTCTGAAAAGTTCAACAGGTAGCTGATACATATGTAAAAAAAAGCTAGATAATTAGACAATTAACTTACCATTACTACAGACAAACAATGCAGATCAAATACAACTACCTGTAAAATAGCGTAGCCAGAACATGGAAAAAAATAATAATCCTGAAACCAATAGTACAGACCTCATAGATGTACAACAGCTTGACTAAAAACATATTGTTCTATTAGAAAGAAACAAACCATCCATTGGTTTAAGGAATATTTTGATGTTATGTTATGGAAATTAAGAATGTGTGATTTCAAATGTGAACATTATTTTTGTAATATTTAAATAAATGTATGTATTATCAGAATTGCTGAGAGTTTGGGGTAATTTTATTTAATTTTATTCTACAAGCAGAAATTGCTTCTCAGACCAGCATGTTTCTCCACAATTGCTTTATTGTAAGGTCAGCTTAGGGCAGACGCAAGTGATTGGAGCACATGCTCACAGCAAAACAGGCTCAGCTGGCTAGCGTTAGCATAATATAGCTCTCAAAACAGGCATGTTGCAGATACGCAATGTTCTAGCATCTGAGAAAAACCTAAAGACAACTTGTTAAATGGTTTGATATTGTGTTGAGGAACAGGGAATCTGAGCACAGGGCAACTGACAGTCTCACAGACAATTGATTCTGCTTCTGCTCCGTTTTGACTGGAGCCTCTAGCTTGTCAATTTGTGAACTTGTGTCTCAAATTTCATGGTCGTAAATTGAGGGCCGTGGTCGCAAGTCTGATGTTCAAATTTGTTATTACATTTTGCAAACGTGTACATTTTTGTACGCGCTGCAAGTTCATGTTTGTAAGAATGTACATCTTGTGCTAGTTTTTTCTTGCGAGCTATATATACATATATATATATCAGGATAAAGATATATATGTGTGTGTGTTTTGGCAAGCAAAATTATAATTTCTATTTAAATAAAAAAGAAACGCATACTTCCTCATGTTAAACAAGTGCCCTATGTATTGTGTTTAAGATTTTCTAACTATGTTTTTGTACAAACTTGAATTGAATTAACAGAAATGTTTGGAAACAGAATGAAGACTAAAATGTATTCAAAATTCATTGGACAAGCTTGCCAAAGACAGCTTTCAAGCATGAACTAACTGTGCAAACTCGCAAGCACGTACCTAAAGGTACATACGTGCACTTTAACAGAAGATAACTCTCATCCAACTACATTTTCATCAGTGTCAGGTCTTCATTTCCGGACAATCTTGCCATGACTGTATATCTCTCTTCTGTTATGTTGCATGACATTACCTGCAATAAGTTGTGTGACCAGCTGATCCTTTCCATTGAGGATATTAACAGACACATTTTTGGAGGATTGCAGGAACAGCGGGCTGCCCTATGGAGAAACAACATGTAAACAAAACATGCTGTCCATCACACACAACTCCCCTATCAAAAGTGACTTCAGAGTTCAGCGTGTTTCACTTGGAGTGCATGTTTTATAGATCATTTCCATTAACCTAGAAGTCAAGAGTCGATATGGGATGTAAATCCCATCTGAAGCCTGGATCTGGTCTTGCCAAAATAATCTTTCATGCTTCAGTCAACTTCTTAATTAAAGATTAGCCAGCCATTGTGATGTGCCTTAAGCCAGCAAGATAATGCCTCTTATGTATATTATAGATTATATTAGATAATGGTCCACTCGAATTAAGGTTCATTTCTGTTTAGCAATGCATTATTGTTGTAGGAAACCACATTGTAAACTTCTGGGGTCTTTAACACTGTGGTTTTAAAAAAAGAACCTAACCTAAATTCAACCAGGTAGGCCGAATGAGAACAAATTCCAATTTGCAACGGCAGCCTGCGGTGAAGCTGGTGATTGAACCCAGGACAATATACATACGAAGCATGCACTCTACCACTGAGCTACATCAACTCCCCTCCATGAATTAAGACTTTAAGTGTATTGTGTTTTTAGTATTTTATAGTTGAGATACTGTATGTCTCCAAAGCACGTCTGATGCTGAGGGGTTTTCATCATGCTGTTCCATCAACTGGGAATGTTATACTGTACGTTGGCATGCAGCCTTGGCTTCTACCTAAATTGAGTTCACTGGCCTGGAATACCCATGGGTTCCCAGACTCCTATGCAACAGTATGCAGTATACCCTAGGGGCCTGCTTTTATGCATACACATTGTGTATTTTAGACTGCAGTAACATTGCTCTACCATACACCTATTCTCCCAGTTTATTCAGTATGCATTATCATGTAAACTATCTGTGAGACTTCAATAAAAGAAAATACTCAAATTAAACGAGGGTGAGAAGAAAAGATCGGGAGGGAATATGAAAGTAGAGAAAGAGCGAGCTAGAGTTTGAGGTTAACGACAGAGTTGGGAAGGAAAACAGCAGTAAAGAGGATCCTTACTCCAACAAACAATGTCTACGCTCATTGTTCATTCTTACTACGATTTCCGCTTACCCCCACCTCGGCCAGCCTGCTCTTTCTCTCTTTCTCTGCTGGTGAGAGACAGAGGAAACATGCAGCCCAGCTCATGATCAAGCTATCCATCCATTCTGTGTAATATGATTATTTCGAGGCAGAGGCACCTTTACGCACAACATCACTTCTCTCTGATCCTACACTCGTTCTTTCGTGGATCTTTTTGCGGTGGACCCGGCCGCTGCAGTACTTACAGGTCTGGATTGGATTTCTTTGGCATATAGCGGTTTGAGAAACTCAGAGTCCCCCTCCAGTTTCAGGCCTTTTTCCGTTATTCTTAAGTGTCCCATTCCATCCTGTAGAGTCAGAGAAAATGGATAAGCAATGGTTAAGATTTGGGTATCAGATGGTTCCTGTAGCTGATTTTAAAACCCAAATTAATATATGAAATGTGTAATTAAAAATATGCACCAAATTACCAATTTAGACAAATCTTAGCTTAACGCCAATAAAAGAAAGTCATGCATATGCTGTCTTTGATGTTATTTTTATGGACAAAGATTTTTTTTTAAAGAACATTACTTTTTCATGCAAAATATGAAACAATGCATTTAATAAAATGATTGACTATGTTGAAGATCTATTACTGATTGGGGCATTGTAACAATGCCTAGGAGTCCAGTAAAGTTCTGCAAATTGTGATTATGTTGCCCCGTTTTGCATGAATCACTTAAATCGTGTTTGAGTAAGCTGTGTTTTTTGTTTCTGTAGATATAGCTTACTGAAGTTGCCAGGGCAATGCCAGCAGGTACTTTCATCTCATTCAACTGAGTAAAGCAGTCCAAAAATGTATCCTAGCTAGTAGCCAGAACATATAACCGTTTCCACTTTAATCGGAAGGAAAATAACCTCCCTGAAAACCCAATGAGAATGAATGGAATCTAAGAATGGCCAATAATATTTCAGAGGTTAAATCTACAGCCCCGTATCTCACTTTAGCAGGCGTCCATATCGTCATAAAAACCCAACCTCTGATTGCTATCATCATTTAACCTGAAGTGTTCAAAAGAGCATCACCAAAATAAATAAGACCTTAACAATTTGATTGCTTCAAAACCTCAAAGAGTAAAGAGTCTCCGCTTTACCCATTTCTGTATATTCTCTAATAGAACTCAAACAAGGCAATTGGATGTATGTATTTATCCTGACAATCTACAAACCATAACAGTTGTTATGTTAAATGAAAGGAGAATAGACAGTTTGAAAATGATAAAAGACTGTATGATGACAAAACACATTTCTTTTCCTTTCTGCAATAGAATCCTAAAGAGTGTTGGATACTGACATTATCCCACTGGCGAACTGCAGATAAAAATTGGTTGGAACAAAAATGTTCTTCAAAGCCATTTGTTTAAAATCAGTTTAACAGTTTGTTTTCTTTTCACATCTTTGCTACAGATGTTTAGTGTGTTTCACCAGTAGCCAGCTCACAAGCTCTGTTAACAACCAGTGCAGACATGCCTACCGACCTGGAAGTAAGCGAAGTTAATTAAAAAATGATCATTTACTTTTGATAAATATCCACACTTACAAAAAAGGACACTTGTAATTAGTCTACATCGTTACGAAAAAAAATAAATGCAAAGTTGCGCAAATAGTCATGAAAACTATTTTTCATAACCCCTACCGGCGCCAGATATTTCCTCATATTTCTCTTTACCTCCCTCCATCCAACCTACTTCACCCTCTCCGTCTCCCTCCTGAGTTTATGGAACGGTGTGGATTTTTGCGTCCGGAGAGGACAGGCATGTCATAAATAATGCAGCGCCAATGGTTAATACGACGGGGTCCTAGAACGCTCAGCTGTGTCTTCTCCCTCCCCTCCTCACTCCACACCTCCTCGCTCTGTTAAGGAGAAAACATATCTCCAACACCTCAAATTGGTTTATACAATTTAGGCAGTTTCAAAAAGCTAATGAATGTATGCGCAGCAGGATGTTCAAGCACTGCTCTCACTGGCTTGGCGTTTGATATATTTTGTCAAACCTGAGTGGGTGGTTTAGACCAGGTATGACTTGTGACATGTGCAGGATGTGTGTGTGTGTGGGTATTTGTGTAGGTGCATGTTTGTGTGTACCGCGCTGTCTGCCAGCAGGTGTATGTGTGCCTGATCGCAAGGATGTGTGCAAAAGTGGATGTTGATGTTCCTTTGCGGGACTGTGGTGAGCCAGCATGAGCAGAGAGCCTGCTGCCGAAACAACAGTGCACCTTGTTGACAGCTGTTAAGGGTCTTCACTGCGAAGCTGCTAAGGGTCTGCTCTGTCCGTCTCCGTTAGTTAATGAATGCACATGCACCAATACAGGTGACTGCTGCTGAATAGAACTGAGCTGTGCCAGGTATAGCAGGCTGTGGACACAAATGTCTGGAACAAAGGACACTGACATGGCAGCAGTAAAGACACACACACACACCAGAACCTGAGTAAAAGTATGGGGCGCTTTAAGATCAGGGTTATTCAGAATACTCAGGAACCTCTGGGTTAGTATCTAATAAGAGCATCAATAAGTAACATATTCCCCTATCACTTGAGGCTGAACAAATAAAGTGAAATAACTTTATAGATTACCCTTGTGACTAAATGAGAAAATGATTGGTCATATTGCTCTATTCACTGCACACGATCAATTGGTCTGGGAGAAATTACTTCTCAATCGGGAATCTCTGCAAAATTATGTATGCATTTACCTACAAGCTGGAGAATTATAAGCAAACATCCCATGTTATTGAAACACATGTAAGCATGTATGATGTATGAGGCATGTACCGAACACATAGCCTACAGCATTGTCCTAATCAAAATGCAATTACATATTTGTTTTCAAATGTTTGCCAGGATGTATATAAAATACGACCAAGTACACTAAAACATTTCTTATTGTGTCTTCACGTGTCTGCTACATAATATTCTTATACAGAAATGCACCCACAGCCTACACAGTAATAAATACAGGCTGTTTGAATATTTTATATCAGCTAAATACCTTTTTAACCAAGAAAAATACTCAAATTTAAAAATTAAATATCTCTTTACCATGAGTGTGCTGGCCAAGATGAGCACAAACAAACAACATTGAATTTAAAACACACAAAACATTATATCACAACAAGAGAAAATAGAGCAAACATACCTTCCAGTGCCAATAAATAACCAAATGAATACAGCTACAATAAAGAAAAGATGCATAAATACAAAAGCATTAGATAGGCCCTATTCTGAAATTTGAATTTAGCTTTAAACACACAGTGCTACAAGCTCCTGCATTTTAAGATCAGATTGAGTCAACGTCTTTTATTAATGCCCCTAAAAACATCATTGTTGTAAATAAGGAAATTATCTGAACAGTAGTCATTTGCAAAAATATACTTACACAAAAAAAGTTGCATTGTAAAAACTAGTAGCAATACAAAAACGAATGGCTGTGTAGCAAGTGTAGAAATGGGAAAAATTGACAATATGAATATAACTTCTATAAAATGTGTATGGGTAATAGAGCAAGTAAATGGGTACATTAAAATATAGTAATGTGTATTGAATGTTCATGGAAAATGTTCATTGATTAATATAAGATTAATGTTGCTGATTAAGAAGTGTTAAAAACATTCCCACTTACAAAAAAATATGAATACCCCCTTGTGCATGTTCAACACACGTATGACACAACCAAGACCATCCCTTTATCAGCATGTCTTTTCAAATGGTAAAAATATACAGGTCAAAGAAATGTTTAACACAGTGGATACTATAATAAAATGGGCCTACTGCCCAATAAAACAACAAGTGGATGCAATGGTGAACAGGGAATTTAATTTTCAGAGGCTTTTCTGCATACAGCACAGTTGTAACGCAGGTAGGAATAAAGCCAGAGGAGATAAAATAGAAATAGAGGTTGAATAAAAAATAAATCAGTAAAAACATGTACAAACAAATATGTACAGGCAAATATGTTGTGTGCTGGTAAAATGCAGTACTACGCAACCATGAACAAACATACAATACTGCCAAATGGAGAAACAATGTGAAGGGACTGGGATTAGAGTATGCTGAGCTCCAAGTATGTGTGTAGCGAAGCAGCGTCAACAGGTACAACGTTTTGCCAGGACCAGTTTTAATAGGATAGCATTGTTGGGTGCTGCAGAGAGCGGGAGCAACGCGAGTTCAAAATAAACTTACTAGACTGAATAAATAGCTGGAATAATATTGTGAACTACCTTTTTTAGTAGGCAAATCTAGCATTTACAGTTGCTGCTGAAAGTGTCCTTAACTTTGTACTACATTTAAATAAACTCCTATTTCATTCAAATGAAATAATTTCTATATTCACCAGCTTCACGCTGCTCCAGTTGTTTTACGTTTGGGAAATGCCATGGCTATTCTGTAGCATTAATAGTGGCACTCAATGCTGGACACTTCTGAAAACTCCAGCATGTCT